ATATATATATATATATGGATGCAAAATGTTTAGGTTACTTTCCATTTAATTTTCCACAAACATTCTATTTTTTTAGTATTCAGGGAATAACAAAGATAGAATTACACCTGTGTTAATGTCATCAAATGGAAAGCCCTGTATATTTTGCATATATATATTTAGAATGTTTTCTAGCAAGAGATACAGATGACATAATATAAGAGACTAATATTACATTTGTCTGTTTTTTTTATATGATAAATTTTTCAGCTTATTGATTGGCTGTAGGATAAAAAGATCCAAGAACCTCTTCATCCTACTGCCAATTAAGGTTTGAGAAATTTATTGTTTGAGAAATTTGTCATTTAAGAAATTTGTCGTACTACAAATGAAATACCACAAAATCATATTCTGGAATATTTTGTGACAGAACTCAACACAAATGTAGTTTTATCTTTTTTGGTATTCCATGATGAAATAAAGACATAAAACATCAAGTGAAAAGCATTGTTGTGTTGGCATTACCAATGTTAAATAAAGTTGAAATAATTCACAGTGACTACTTTTCTTTTAGAAGACATAATTGACACAAATATTATTCTATCCTTCTTCAATGATTCAATGAATAATGAAGATAGAATGACATTGTTGATTATGTCTTTTAAGAGAAAAGCAGCCTATGTTACAATGTGTTGTTTATGTTTTTTGCTGGAAAACAACTTTAATTTAATTGTTATGATAGGCGATGGAGCATGGGATAATGGATATGGTACAATGAAACCTAAAAATTTGATATCCAGTATCTTAGGTGGTACACCAGGCAAGCCAAAATCTATAGTCATTTCAAACCCACATGATTTTAGGCAGGTAAGTTTTCTTTTTGCATATTTTTCAATACATGATATTATCCGCCGATCATTTATTTGCATTATTTATTGATTTGCTGTCAGGTATCTGCAATTATTGATGTTGACATACTGCCAGAAACCTGTCGACGTGTACGTCTATTAAAACATGGATCTGATAAACCTTTGGGATTTTATATCAAGGATGGTGAAAGCTATCGCGTACTGCCACCATCTGCTGGTGGTGGAATTGAGAAGGTTCCAGGTGTATTCATTAGTAGATTGGTACCGGGTGGCTTAGCAGAAAGTACAGGACTTCTAGCTGTGAATGATGAGGTTTTGGAAGTAAATGGTATAGAAGTTGCAGGAAAAACGCTTGATCAGGTAAAGTAATTTTTCAAAAATGATAATTTTACAAAAACGATTTATTAAGTTGCATTAAATTATCAAATGAGAGATATTTCATTTATTACAATAATGATATAACTCAATGATTGTCATTTTTTAGTTGCTTGCAAAAAAAAATGGAAACTAAAAAAACATATTTTAAAGGAATATGTTTTATTCTCCTATTCTCAGTTATTACATCAAAATTGCATTTTAAAATTAATATTACAAAATTTTAATTGATTTAATAAACAATTTTAAGATTCAAGTGAATAAATCAATTACGAAGGGAAAGTTTGTAAAGCCGACACAGAAAGTAAAGTGTGTAAAAGATTATAATAATAGATTTAATATAATAATAGAAAAACGAAGTAATACAAATTAGAATTCTCATTCATAAAAACAATTCGCAATAGTAAAAGAAATACGCATATATTTCAACTCCAAATTTGGATCCTCTTCAGTACAAAGTAATAATAAGAAAAAAAATATATAAGTGTTGAAAATTGCTAATTCTCTTAAAAAAATTTATAATTTTATTTATAATATAATTTTTGCGATGTGTCATTTTAGTGAAACCATTAAGATGTGGTATTGTTGTGAAGGTCGTCTCTTATGGAACATGTCTGATTTATTTAATTTGCTAATTCATTAAATTGCCAAATGTATATTACAATATTTTTTGTTGTGCATTTGATTCATTGAAATTTTATTTAAGAAATAATAATAATTAATGGAATTAAGTTAAACATGAATTTGGTAGGCGATATGTCATCAAGAGATATTGATCGTTCGATAGTTAGCGTGCGAATGGAAACATTTTATGACGAGAAGTCAAACGACAAGAACAAGATAGAATTGGAGAGAGAGAAGAGACAAGTCAAATTATATTAGAATATAAAGGACTGAAAGGTGTTGTATAATTTTTTAAGTTTAATCCATTATTCTGTTGTTTTATATGTAACATTTCAGAGATAATTTTTGTAAAATTTTTTTATATATAATATCTTTTTATCATAATAATAATCTTTATATTTGTTCAGTCAAATTCATGTGACGTATCCAATCTATATTCCGTGATTATAGAATGTTATGTGATGTTACGATTTATGTGATTCTTGTGCTCATTTTGTTATTAAAGTTCTGTTTGTTTGGCTTACATAGGATGCATCACAGTCTATGCAATTGATTTTATAGACATTCCATGTAGGAATGTAAATTCGAAGAGAGTTTATCTTTGAGTACTCTAATAAAATGTCTCATTTTATTCATCTCCTCCCAGAGTAGACCATCCGAACAGTGAAACATTTTTAATAATCTTATTAATCTTTTCAGAAATATTATTTAGAAACGGAATGGTGAAATACCTCTGTTTGACTATATTCGTTTTTTTTATTATGATGTCTGTTTTTTGAGGATCTTGATTGAGTTTTATTATGTAATCTTTTTATGACGTTATTAAAAATTATTTTTAGAGGGTATCCATTATTAAACAATGTTTTTATGATATAATCAAAATTAGTTTTATGGAATTTAGGATCTGATAACAACAGTATTCTGTCCATCAGATTCAGAATTACATTCTATTTCTGACAATGGAAATGATGAAAATGATAGTTTAGGTAACGTCCTGAGAAGGTAACTTTGAAATAAAGGTTGTAAATGAGTTGGTTATTTTCGTCAATTAACGTGACGTCAAGGAAATTTAAGGCTTTGCTTTCTTCTATTGTAAATTTGGGGGAGGGGGGGGTCTGGGATGGTAGTTATTCAAAGTTGTTAGTATGCGAAACGTATGTATATTTCTTTTACTTGCGAACTGTTTTTATGAGCATGTTCTAATTTATATCACTTCGTTTTTCTATTATTGAATTATAATCTTTTACACGTACTTCCTGTGTGTCGGTTCATTTACAAAATTTTAATGATTCCAAACGTTCAAACTTATTTTTTGAAAAACTTCGTTTTTTTGAGTTGTATTATTGTTATGTAGCAAAAGAGGAATATGAGAATTATAGTCACAAGCAGAATTACGAAATAATATTTATTCACTTGATTTCAATAAAATTATATTTTCACTAAATACATACAATATATTAATTATATTATGTTGTGTTATTCTAATATGTTTTCTAACATCTGAAATAATATGAATCTTATATAAATAATAAGTACATCTATATAAAGCAGAATACTTACTTTTTCTTATTTTTTTTTATTCATGTATGGGACAGGTGACAGATATGATGATAGCAAATTCCTCTAATCTCATCATAACTGTCAAGCCGGCAAATCAGAGGGCAGCATTAACAGCACCTCGTCGTGGTTCGTTCTCACGTAACAGTCAATTGTCGTCAGGAAGTCGTCAGTCTACGCAGAGTGCCGGTAGCGATGAAGAGGCAGACGAGATTGTCGATCTTACAGGCATGACGATGCAAGATGATGCTTCGGCATCGTCCACTCAGCACCATCACTATCACCATCATCATCACCATCAGAATTATGATCAGGGTGTACTGCATTTGTAGGGTACGCGTTTTGTATTTACAAACTATAGAATGGTAATAGATAATTCGTTATAAAGTATCGAAATATAGGCATATCGAAAATAGGAAAATGAAATATATAATAGCGAAAGGAAGATAATTTCTACATAGTATTATAAATTGTGTATGACTGATACTCTGAGATGATGCTCCGCGAATTCTATGATTAAGAGAACTTTTATCTCGATACATTGTAACTAGTTGTCTATTGCTTTGGGACGTCATGTATTAGGCAGATTAGACTACACTATCGCGAAGAAGAATATAAATTTTGCTGCCTGACAAATAACGTTCCAAAAATAACAGTGGCCTTATATAATATATCATTCCTGCTAGTTTAAAAAAATAATAGAAAAAGAAGTTCCGTTATAATGCAGCCACACGCCTATTCGTGTATCTATTTCGTCCACCACCGCATGTTTAGACTGTTGAAGTTTTCGAATTTTAATTTCATTTTTATCTATGTTATCTGTTATCCAATTGCGGACTAAGGATTGAAGAGTAATACTTTATAGGACGGTAAGTATCGACAGAAATATCAGGAAAAATGATTGTATTTTTATGAATGTAAAATATTGTTCTTTGCGTGCCTTCATCAAAGTGGAATTAATATGTTAGGGAATGTTAAATTCCAATTATATTTACATGAAAACATTGATGAGGAGACATCGTTTTTAAGATATCTATACTGCCTTCGTAGTTACATGAGTCCATTTTTATATACGCTCAAGCCTACTTTTTCTACTTAATTCGAAAAGACATGTACATATATAAATATATACAAAGATATATTTATAATATTCTAGATATTTTTTTATTGAGTGTATTTTTTTCGTAATCATAAATCTATCACTTGGACTTCCGCAATAAGCCCTATTTTTAACGGGCCATATCGTGCATCATTGTCAAATTATTAATCGCATTAATTACATTATTAATTCCGCGATATTTGAAATATTTCTTTTTAAGTTTAATGCGTTTCTTATCTTATCCATCTGTCCATGCATCATAGATCATGTATAATATCTAAAAAGTAATATCTTTTTGAAAAAGATATTTGTAGCATGTGAGTCCAAGAAAGAGAGCAAAAGAATACGCGCGCGCGCGAAAGAGAGAAAGAGAGAGAGAGAGAGAGAGAGAGAGAGAGAATGCTTGAACGAGAATATGAATTGAAGAATTAGTATTATTGTAAGATAATCATTTAAGTTTAATTTGTATGTATTTCCGCTCGAAGCGAGGAATCACTTTTGTACTTAACCAAATGAAATACGGATGAATATGGACTAGATACGTTTGCAAGAAATACTTATTCGTCTGTACTAAGTGCTTTATTGAGCACTATAGTTGTTACTTGGAAGGAGTGCTAAATTAGCGTTTGTGAAATTAGATATATTTTTAACACGGTACGTCGCATTGTACTCCTTAGTGCGGATAAGAGGTAGTTAATGAATTACGAGGACGAAAATATACTTATTAATGCTGTAATTCTTTTTAATGGCAGCTTCTGAAATAAAGATATTTTATTGTATTTTTTGTAAGTCTTATTATTTATTCAATAATCCCACATAAAGCGTTCCTCGAAATCACGCCCAGTATCGATGTCTTTTCTGTCACGGTTACTATGGTGTGTAAATAAAATATGGTCGAAAGTCCCAACCAAAAATTTGTAACTTTGCGTGGAACATAATGTTCGCAAAAATTTGACGCAGTCGTTAATTGAAATTAAGGGAACGACAGAAAATTTTGCAAATATTAGCTCGTAAGATTTCGCGGCAGCAACAAGAGATGTCTTACGCCGAGCATGGACCCCGTATTTTTTTGACGGGCAGACCAAGCAGTGGTGTACCTTTGACTTATGGGGATTATGTTCTGCCACAAAAAAGATCGGAGGGTCGCTTGAAGCTGTACAATTCGTGCACGGATATTCGAGCATGGAGCCCGAATGTCTTGGAGAGCACGCGCTACTTCCGCGAACTCAACGAGCATGAGAAACTTGCGGTTCGTTTCCCACGTGGATTTTTTTCTTTTTAAAAGAACACCTTCAAGCTTGTTTCGAAAAAAGATTTATTTCTTTATTTATATAGTTGTATAAACAATTCAAAAAATTTTTAATGAATGATCTCGAAATTCAAATTGTTATTGGAAAATCAAGGTTGTCTCTTAATTGTCTTTATGTGCAGCCAGTAAAACTGATACCATCCAGCGTGATAATGGAAAACATGATGACACTTACAGCTCAAGCTCAGCGTGAGCTTCGTGTTGCACGACAAGAATTGCAGAAATACAGATCCTTGAGTTTTACCACGGAGCAACAAAAGCACCTAAAGAATTTTGTGAGCTTTCCAGGCGCGTTAAATCTTTCAGTCGAATAGATAATAATCTTTAATCGTTTTGTAGGATAGAGCTCTTAACAAAATAGATATTGTTGAGACCGATAAAACAGAAGATATGAAAACTGGATCTATAATAAAACCGCTTTCTCAGGGGCATATATTATTCAATGCAAACAAGATTGCATCCTTGCAATGTTCTGACACTTATCTGTCAATATACTTTCCTGATAGATTTCGATACAGTACAGGTGGTTATCCGTTATTAACTAATACGTGCGTTCTGAGAGAAAATCTGAGCGGGAATCCATTATTGGAAAATAATACTTATTTGATGTCGCGCGTAACGTCCTGCAATATACTAACTGAAGTGAAAGCTACACAAGGTAAATGTCCAAGCTGCAAAATAAAAATTGAAGTTTTCCAATCGACACTAATTAAAAATAATACATGTTATAATTTCGCACTCAACAATATAAACATAATATAACACAGTTACATAACAGTTACATTGTTGAGTGAAATTATAATACCGATTATAATACCGATTATGTTTACTTTTAGTTTGTTTCGACTGGATTGTTTTTTTATTGCTGCATTAGATTGCACTATAATTTTCCCTTAAATATAAAATACATTAATTCTATTAAAAAACAAACATTCTACAAGAGCATATCCAGCAAATTGACAATAATATAACTGTTAATTATAATTTCTTATATAACAATGTAACTATAATATGATGCAACAATTATATGTATCTCTAGTAAAACTTTTTATCAGAATTTTTATATGAATTGAAATACTCTTCAGAAACATTGAGTCTATATCTTTTCTTAGAAGTTTTCATATATATATATATATA